AAAGAATATATTAAAAAATATATATGTAATTTGTTAGCAAAAATATATTTACTAATTATTATTTTATATTTTTATTCAGGGTGTTAGTAGACCCTGAATCAATACATAAATTTTCGATTGCAGAGACAGGTTCGTTCGTATTACAGAACAATCGAAAATCGCATCAATGGTACTTTTTTTTTTCATTTTTAAGTTGAATGGTTTTTTTTGTTTTGCTAAACTTCAGTTGAATGATTTTTTTTTATTCTAACATCCAATTTATAACAAATTATTTTGAATATATAACATAATAATTTATAATAATATTATTTAAAAAAAAACATGGTGTCCGGCCGGTCGGACTGGTCACGACCGGCCATCGGGGCCGGACGCCATTTGGGCCGTCCGGTTTTGGCGGCCGGACAACATTTTTTTTTTTTTTTTTTACTTTTTGGAAAAAAATGGCAGGGGCAAAAATGTCCAAGGGGAGCGATAAATAGTAATAAGGGGGCGGTAAATAGTAATCTCCTATGTGAGCTGTAAATTATAATGATAAAACTTGTAGAAAATTCGTTTTGCAGTTATTATTTTTTTATTCGAGTGGTGTTGGTAGTTTTTTCTCAGAAAGAGCTATAACTTTTGTAAAATAAAAGTTAGAAAAGCGATAGAGGATGGTTACAATTTGAAAGCTATTTCATTGTATTGTTATTTTTATTATTATTATTGTGCATGCGTGATTTTTTTTTATCAATCAAGTTGGTGTCTTTCCAAATAATGATACAATAATTTGACACACGCGAAAAGTTAATATATTAATTTGCTAAAATCATCAACAATAATTTCATTTGGCAAGTCTGTGTATCAAACAAAGCTTGATGATAACTTCCTGAATGAACATCCTTTTATAATTTTAGTAAGTTAGTGTAGTCAGTCTGATTAGTGTAAAATTAGCATATTATTTTTTAGAAAGCTAAGTTAGTAGACCAAAATATTTTTGTAGGTATGTGTTACTTCAATGATTCGTATTATGAATCTAATTAAATAAACATATATATTCAACATATATACCATCTGTACATTTATTTAACTATATTATTTCAGTAACTATGAGTTGTTATAATTTGCTACAACTTTTAGTCACGTCATAGAAATGACCTAGCCTCAACAACTCCCGAAACCTAGAATATACAGAAAAAGTGGGTAGTCTCTATCAAGCAAAGCCCAAATGTCAGCCCATATAGATATATCATTAAAGTGGGCCGGATAACTCGATAATATGCTTCTATCAGCTATTGTAAGCGCAACTCTACAGTATAAAAAAGGGGAAATTTATGGGAAGTAGAGTCTTTCAATGAGATCTGAGCACAGGTACAATTCGTTCTTGGTTGAGAAATATTAAAAATATTGGTTAGAGCAATTCATGTTGGAAATTATGAATATGTGGACCAAAAAATACATCTTACCTTACCCTAGTTTCCCTACAATTTTTTGGTTTTTTTTTTTTTTCTAAATANATATTCCATTCTAAAAAATTTGATATAATTATTAATTTTTTATAAATTACCAGACTAAGGATAATGTGTGTATCGCATTCCCAGCATATGTTTTTATCTGTGATTTGTTATGAAGAATCACCTTTAGTATTGGCATAGGCCCATTGACTTTGGCATGCTAAAACTTGCAAGCTAGGCTCGAGCTATTATCAAACTTGGTGTTCATAAATTGTCTCATCAAACAAAGACCAAACACATCAAATACATTTACTTATGACTTGATATGACATATCTTACATATATCCAGCTTAACCGTATTTCACACTTCAATCGGTCGAGTCAAAGCAAACGAGCAGCTTGTCGTTATGACTTAAAAAGATGGCATAACCTTGAGTATTCTTCGTATCAAACTGAAATTACTAATTATGTATAACTATCTTAAAAGGACGAGTCATTTCTTGAAAATTTTGAAATGCCCATATTACCCTTTAAAGATTTACCTTTAAGGACATAAATGTAATATTATAATTTCATTACTATCTCATCACTACTACCCCTCAATAAAAAATAATGTTACTTCCAAAAATAATGTTACAACCAATATTATTATATCTTATATCATAAACAATTACAATTGTTTCAAATAAGAATTTAAATTTTAATTAGAATGATTTAGTGTGATGTTTTCATCATGAATGAGATGACATAATACTCAATTTTTTTTTAATATTCCTTTTGTATTTTATAATTAATAACTTTTTTTTTCTAATGTTAATCTATTAAAAAAAATTGATTTGTATCCAATTCTTTAAATGAATGTATTGGCACAATTACATAACTAAAGAAATAAGATTTCTATCATTTTTTTTAATGAATGTATTGTCATCACAACTACATAAATAAGATTTTGCATGTTTTATCTATTTCCCTGCTTTTTATGTATATAAATATAAATGATGTTTTATTTACACAAATGTTTTAAAATATTTTTTTAAACATCATAAATACGATTTTGCATATACAAATATGCACAATTCTTATAGTGCAAAGCCAACAAAATAAACAATTTAAATTTTAATTAGAATGATTTAATGTGATGTTTTCATCATGAATGTGGTGGCATAATACTCAATTCTTTTATTTTTAATATTCCTTGTGTATTTTATAATTAATAATTTTTTCTAATATTAATCTATTAAAAAAATTGATTGATTGTATCCAATTTTTTAAATGAATGTATTGGCACAATTACATAACTGAATAAATAAGATTTCTATCTTTAAAATGTTTATTAATGTTTTGTCATCACAACTACATAACTAAGATTTTGCATGTTTTATCTATTTCCCTGCTTTTTATGTATATAAATATAAATAATGTTTTATCTACACAAATGTTTTAAAATATTTTTTAAACTTCATAAATACGATTTTGCATATACAAATATGCACAATTCTTATAGTGCAAAGCCAACAAAATAAATCAGTTTTCCAACATCGTTGTGCATTAACTTTTTAGTTAAATGTGGGGAACTATCATTTTCAAAAATTAATACAAGAGGAAGACTGGCGGTTGAATGTTGGTAGAATTTTGCAAGACAGAGAATAAATCATTTTGAAAAGCTGATAGAATTCATCATTCACTATCATTTCCAATTTCTTTTAAACTATTCCCTTTTCTGTTCCTCGTAATTTTTAATTTTATTTTTATTCTTATTGATTTTATATCTATCTGATCATATCCTTTACGCGAACTCTGTCCGTCGACCATGAAATTGGCACGGCTCTTTTCATATTACGCGCATGAAACCGGCACGGATATTTTCATATTACGCGACCGCAAGACAGTGAATTAGCTCCGGACTAAAGTTCTGAAATCTCAGCCTCCTCAATTCCGTAAGTTTTTCTTCACTGTCATTTTCCATAATGTTTGTGTTCACTGTAATTATCCCAAATTTTTATACGCCTAAATAAAACACACAAAAGCATAGAATGAAAAACTTGGTTTTGATTAGATAGTAAGTTCTAAAACATTATTTGTAGAAATACTTGGCTTTGATTTAGTTTTAAATTTAAGTTTTAAATTTTTCTGCTTATGGAAGAGGAAAATGATAAGAGCATGAAAACTCAAGTAAATCATTAAGAGGAGACGAAGGAGAGATTCTATCTTTTTCTTATTTATTTTTTTCTTCTTTGTTTTGCGCAGTCAACCCAAAAATGGGGTTAAATCCCTCTATATGTGTCTGAGTTAGCCATTGTTGTGATTCTTGAAGCAAAAGTCTGTTGAACTCACCAATTTTTCACTTTTGAAATTAAATTCCATATGTTTATTGAATTTTTTATTTGATTAAATTCACTGCTTTTTGTTTTTTAGAATTGTTTTTTGTTAGTTTCAAAAGCTCTGTTTCTTATATTTTGTAATTAATATTTGTAAATATTATATGTATTTGCGCATAAACAATAAGTATTGAGGAATTTTCATCAACAAAGCTTTGTCTTGCAGTATTTGTATCAACCAGGGATGTAGTTGCCGTTTCAGGATCCACTAGACAAATTGAAATGTATGGACGTTCATCTATGCCAAGTACTTCTTCAGGTAAATCATATTTAATATAATTTTTTCTTTAAATTCCAAACAATATAATATGGAGCGTATGTCTATTTGTTTATTATAAATAAGTGTGTAATAAACAAATACCATACTCTTCTTATTTTCATATTATAGCCAAAGATGTTTATCGACAAAGAAATCTTGAAAAGATGAAAAGAAAATATGCTGACTTTGATTCTGCGAAGAAGGACTATATTGATAAAGTTAGACGCAGGAACAAGCTAAGGAATCCACAAGATAAGTGGTTTTTGAGAGCTCAAATAACAATGAATGAGTCCGAAGGTACTGAACAATATTTAATATATTTTGCGAGTTATATTATTGAATAATTTTTCTAGAACTCTATTTTTTTTTACATTATCCTAAGTTCAATTGATACGAGTCTAAATAGTAGCCCACAAACACATGAATGGAAGAAAGTTCGAAAATGCAGTTATTGTGATGCTGCTTGATTTCAGTACGAGCCTCTGACTTTTTTTGTTGTGACAAGGGAAAAGTTAAAATTGCATCCATTGATGTCCCGGATGAACTTTATGAATTGTTCACTTCAAATTCTGAAGAGTCGAATGCATTTCGTAAATCTATTCGCCAACTACATAGCATTTTCTCTTTCACATCATTTAGTGTAAAGTTAGATAAAGATCTAGCTTCTGCAAGACGAGGAGTTTATACCTTCAGTGCGCAAGGAATGGTTTACCATGATCTTCCAGGGCTTATACCGAATGAAAGGGGTCCTGGTTATTTTCAGTTATATTTTGTGGAGACGGAAAATGAGGTGAAAAACAAAATGAGGATTTTCGAAGATTCATCATTAAGCGAATCTATGGTGAAGAAAGTCATGGATATTTTAGAGATCAATCCTTATGCGAGGATCTTCAGAAGATTGAAAGATATCCCGATGATATCCACCTTCATACTGCAAAAGACGTGAAACTAGATCAACGTGTTTATAATTCTCCAACAGCGGATCAAGTAGCCGCGACATGGGTAAAAGGAAATAACAATGACGTACCATTTGAGTGTGACATTATCGTCCATGCGCATTCAGGATATAGACACAGAATAAAACACTACTTTGGATGTTATGCCCTATTGCAATATTCTCTTCTTTTTCCAATGGGTGATTCAGGGTGGCATAAAAATATCAAAAAAATACTACCAGATAATCGTCGACTTCAAACAGGTATGTTTTTCCTCAAAGTCAATCAATTTGCTTATATAACAATGCTACTTTAATTATTTCACCCCATTATATGCATAATTTTAAAAGTTTTTAAAATATAATATGAATGAGTGTTTTACTAATTCTCATTTGTTGTGATAGAGTTTCCAGAATTTTCTATTTCAGGCATATATCCAACGACACATGTTACTGATCATTACGCTGGGCCAAATACTTGTTTAGCACATGACATTATTTCTAAAAAGCAACAAGACATGTAAACTCACATGTTACAAATGAAGTTATTCAGTATAATTTATTTATTTAAATTTATTCCTTAAAAAATTATATTCCTTAATTTCAGTTGTGTGCAAAGAAGACGATAAAAAGATATCTTGTAGGGAATACAGTTGTTACAGGTTGCAAATTCGCTCTCGAAGGCATTCTATATTGCTTTTTGCGGGGAGATTATTACAACTGCATTTGCATTTGACATGTACATAAAATTGGAGACAACAAGGTTAGACTACTATCGACAAAACCAAACGAACATGAGATCGGAAGTATATCAAGGAATAAAGGATTGTGTCTTACAAGGAGAAACAAGAGGAAGTTATTTCCTATGAATTTTTTTTTCTACAAGTCGTGAGTGACAATGGAAGCGCATTTGTAACGTTGTTTGGAGATGTTGCGTTTATGTTGGTTGTGAAGTTTATCGATACATTCAATCAATCAATGGGTTAAATTATCATTCATTTGTTCACAATAATAATGTTTTTATAATTACAATAATAATATAATAAATATTATAGCACTTACAATTTATTTATTTTATTATGCATATTCATGGAGAAAATGAGTCAACTTACTATAGAGGACTGAGTTTGCAATCACCAACTCTATTCCGCTTCTTAATTACGGTAAAAAATAACAAAATGGAAGGAAGTCTCAACTTAGTAGCTGATGCAATTGAAAGAGCTGAACAAGACGGGAAAAAACTGTTAGAGAAGACTCATCACTCACAAACTCACAAATTAACTGTGGAAATCCCATCCACGTTGCTAGCTACTTTCTCAAATTCTCATCCGACTTCCAAAATTGATGCAAATAAAGGGGAAATATCGAGAAAGAGTTCTATCAAAGAAGATGATGACATTGTTATTTCAAGTGATGATGATGATATCACCTTTAGCATCATGAGGAAGAAGATGTATTTGAAGAAAAAATCAACTTTCAAGAAGATATCACTGTTGAAAAACATTAAAAAGGAGAAGAATTAAGTGTTTTATTTTCCATTTTAAACTTGCATTTTCTCCATGTATTATTTTCTATCATTCTATGGAAACATTATCATTGCCTTCAATTTTATAATTTCTCCCCATGTTGTTTTCTATATTTTGATTAAAATTCATNCAGTGATAGTGAGGGCACTGTTTCATGTGATTTTTAACCATTGAATCAAAACACACTTACATACACCTATGTAAAAGTGTGTTCTTAATTCCAAAGATAAAAACTACATGAATTTTATTACAAGCAAAACAGCACCACATATTTTAGAGATAAAAGGCTTGGCATTTATGGTTGCATTTAAGAGGACAAGTACTTATAGGCCGACCATAAATATTTTGACACAAGCGCAGCATTTGGAATCTTTCTACTCATGCAAACCTGTTGTGTCATTCATATTAAATCTGACAATTGACATTCAGTCTGCGTGCCCGTATGAAAACTATTAGGTCAAACAAAAAAACAAATAAAAAATATAATACCTATCCATGTCTACATCACAATCTTACCATCTATTGACAATGATATATACACACACATCAGATTCTCGTCACTATTTTCTGTTGTTCAAAAATCAAATTCTTTCCTCTTTCATCACCTCCAGATTGAGTTGTTTTTTGGTAGTTTCAGATTCTGTTTCAACTCTAACTTATTTTCTACTTTCTGCTTTTGGACATAAAACTTTTATTGTGACTTCTGAGTGGGCACTAGAGAATGAATTAGGGCTATGGCTGTTTAAATCTATTTATAGCATTATTTTCATATCTAAGGGAGAAAAAAAAATTGGGGGACAAATAAATAATTCTTTTTGTTTTCTATTTCACAGAATCAAATATATATACAGATACTAGAAAGATATAAATTGTATACTGATGAAGAAAGTTGCTGAATAAAAACAAATTCATTCATTCATTCTCTTTCGCAAATGAAATCTCAAAATCCACCTATCGCAGCTTAAATTTCTGAAAAAAAAAAAAAATAGTATATATTCACACACCGTTCCAAATCTTTGAATCTAGAAAATTTAACCATCAAAATAAATCCATCCATAATACAGGCAAAACGTGAAGTTTGCACAAAAATAGCTCAAATTCTCCAAAGTACAATACCGTATTAACAAAAGGATGCCTTTGCCTTAAACCATTACAAAACAATCTCAACTCAAAATCAAAGAAATTGGTCCCACTCCCCCTACACTCCCTTATAACATTTATCTAATACCTCCATAAACAAAACACTGTAAAAGGACACAAAAACTTGTAATGGAACTAAAATCGCACCTTAAGTTATAGAGCAATAAAAATACCCTATACACAGACAGACATTCAATTCCCAAACTCAATTATCTCAAGCTAAACCTACTGCCGAGAATCATCGTCCTTAGATGATAGCTGTTGGTTTTGGTTTAGATTTCGATTCTGATTTTGATTATGTTCATGAATAACTGGGCCCGGCTGCGGCTCGATCTGCTGCTGCTGCTGATGATAAATCTGGTTGAACTGATTCAAATCCTGCGACAATCCAAGCTGGAGAGCCGGAATTTGTTGACTAGTGCTGCCGCCTAAAATCGAGGCGAAGCTCAACGACCCTGGCAGATCGAACCCCGCGAATCCCATCCTCTGCAGATAGCTCTGCCCATCCGACCCGAACCCGAGACCCGGCCAAGACCCGCTGCCCGGGTCGCCTGACCGGATCCCGTGAAGGCCGGATGGGTCAGAGATTGGCGCGGAGGCGGCGAGGGCGGAGGCGGGGATGGTGCCGGAGCCGGTGGCGGCGATGATGGAGGGCTCCGCCTGGTTGAGGAGCCACTGGACGGTCTCGCCGTCGGACTTGTGGCCGAGCTCGCGGGTGAGCTGGAAAATACGGGCGGCGCAGAGGGCGGGCATCCGGATCCTCCGCCCACGCCCGTCGACTTTCGTGTGGCGGTCCTTGTTGGAGGTGCGTTTGGGGGCAAGCTGCTGCTGCTGCTGCTTTCTCGAACCTTCTTTCTGGATGTCTTTGCTTTGGGCGGAGTTGTTGGGTTCGGGCAGGGCGTGGATGATGATTGAATTATTCGGATCCATTTTTTATTTTTTATTTTTATTTTTTGTTGGTGATGGCTTAGTGTGGAATATCAAGCATCGTGTTTTAATGGAGGTTATTGGTGTTGGTTTTAGTGTGTGTGCGTTGAGGATGATAGGAGAGGAGGAAAGGTTTGAAGTGGTTGTGTGTTGTGATTGATTCTTTTTATTCTTATTTTGTTTAGACTGATTTTTGGCAAAGGAAAAAGGGATGAGAGAAATAAAACAAGATATAAAAAAAAAAAGGGGGAAAAAGCGAAAGTATAGCTTGAAATCCCAAGGCAGAAAATGGGATCTTTGTCTTAAAAGAAAAAACTGGATCAGTTTTAAATGTTTTCTTCTGTTTATTAATTTCACTGTTGATGGATTTGACTTTTTGACTTGCACTTTTTGACTGAGACATTATTTTACGGTACAGCAAAACAATTGNCAAACACAAAGAAAATAGTAAAATGTTTTTCATAAATAATGCTATTTTTTTATCAGAATCACTGTGAGTGACATATAGAGGCCCTTTCTTGGAAATTGTAGAATAAGATAAAAGTCCAATATAGCACCTCGATTTGACTTCATATACGCGGAATTCATGTCTAATACTCTAATTCGACAAATACTTTGAAAGTGGCCCCCCAATTTTTCATTATTTCAAATTCTAAATCATGTTCAGCAAATTGCAATTAAACGCGTGTAACTAAATGCGTTAACATGTCTGATAGAATATATATATAAAGTATTTGATAAATAAATATGTGAGTTGGTAATCTTATCGAATAAAAACACAAACATCCTTGGTTATATTTCGTTTGTTAAGAGTATCTGAAGACTAAAATTGTATTTGGGTACTGTCTAGAATTTGATATTGGCTCAAATCCAGGCTCACCTGCCGTCGTAAGAAGATCTTGTGAACTTTCGATCACATATGTCATTACTAAATATAATATTTTCTAATCTTTTAAAATTGCATTTCTCATTAACTAATCCAACCTATTATTATTATTTTAGTGTAATTTAATTAATTTAAAAATATTTGACTTTACCAAGTTTTAATTTCCATAACCTCGTAAAAGCAATCCTTTTTTCTTTCAGTAAGTAATGCACAATCTAGCATGGCTGCCATTATTTTAACAAACAGCAATGAGTAACTTATGCCGATGCAGAATCTTGCAACAGACTCAACAAAATCTATGTTAGTAGAGAAGGTACAGATAAAACACCTGGCAATAAAATAAAATATTTGCGATGTGGGGTTACTTAAAACTCACTCTAGACTAGACCCATCCTTAAAATATATCAGATGTCTGAACTCAATGAAAATTTTAATTAGAATTCTAACAAAGAAACTTTAGAAAATTTGTTGATTTAGAAGCCAGAGAGGGCCAGTTAAGTGGGCCATGTTATCATTCTCTAAATGACTTTATGGGCCCATCGTCGAGGCCCATCTTCCACATAAGTTGGAATGGGTTTAAAATTTCAACTCAATTAAGACCTCCATTATTATTCTAAAATATATGCTCCAATAATTCGTGTTTATAGATTTCTCTTTTGTGGTACAGTGTATTTTGAAACAATTGGTTTTAGCTGAACAAGTGACGCCCATGATTAAGATAGCCATGATGAAGTCACGCCCAAAATTATATTAGTTTTCCAACCATTTCCAATTTTTTTTGTTTATCCTTTTTTCCAATGATAATTCATCTCCAAGGCGTATGCTTGATTATGCACTACATAGTGTGTTCGGAGCTCTTTAATGACACTACTAATTTAACCACAATCACAAAAATTGTGCCTACACCGATCAAAATGCTAAAGTCAATTGACTTACATAGTTACATTAATAATAATTTCATCTAGTAATTGAAATCGATTAGATGACAATCTGGTTTGATTCAATTTGTTTCTCACAGTTATGCTCGAGGACTTTGCGTCAACATTTTTGTCGCATCCTTAATGCTTACATTATTAGACTATTTTTGTTACTTCTATAAATAATAGCTAAATAAAATTATTTTCTTTCTAAGAAAAAGTCGAGCATATAAACTCCAATTGTTTTTTATTTCTATTTTTTTTATCTTGTTACACTTTATAACCAATTCCAATGATTGATTGTCCCCACCATCAATATCTTTTCGATTTAGTATAATTGTTTTGGCTTTATTTATCCTAGAAAAGGTGTGATGACAGATCCGTGATTGCCGGTTTGATCATTTTGAATTCTATCTTCTTGCTGAATAGAAAAAAAAAAAATTAAATTAGGGGATGACTACAGTCTCGTTACGAAACCAATTTCGTCATAATCTTTAACCGTAGATACATCATGTAAATAGATAATCTACAATTAAAATCCCTATACGTAAGAGCGTAAAATATAATTTCTTGTTGGAGCTTGAAGGAGAAGGTTCAACCCGCATAATGTTATTCATTTTTTGCCTCATTTATTTCTTTCATTTATGTATAAATATAAATAAGACTGTTAAAATTAGGATTTTTTATTTTTTGCAAATCACGGATGGATGAATTGATGGTTGTGAATGGTCAATAAGCAGATTTATATTATTAATAATATTACCATTATAAATATTATTATTATTGCTTTATAAGTAAAATCGACTGAATCTGTCGTCTTTTGTTTTTTCGTCAATGGATGAATGGATGGATGTGAATAGTTATATTTGTTGTATATTTTTTTTTTTTCATATGAATGGAATGTTATGTATTAATGTTGCCCGTATATAGTGGTAGTGATAGTCTAGATTAACCTTAAACAATGACTAAATTAGAAAACATTGAAAAAAGATAAAAAATTAAGTAAACAATAATAAAATGCTTTTATTTATTATAGCAGTCTGCATGTGCGTATGAACATTTCCCATGAACATGTGAAATTGTTCGTGTCCCTATTAAAATACAACTCAACACCTCTTGCCATCACACACACACACACACACACACACAAAAATGTAAGAAGAGAGACGATAAATTTGTGCTCCTATGGATCTTAAATAAAACAATCAAAGGAAAAGTCAAATATACCTCTTGTCGTATTCCTCCTCAATTCAGCATCAAAGAAATAAACAAAGGGGTAGATAAGAATACTTAAAGCTGTTGATTTGAGAAAATATGAGCCATCAACTTTTACCTTTCCATCAAATCACCGAAGATAAAACTACCTGATTGTTTGCTACATATATTCCATTTTAGTTTCCTAAAAGTAAAATTGAAAAGGGTTGTTTGCTACATATATTCCATTTTAGTTTCCTAAAAGTAAAATTGAAAAGGGTAAATAAACAGTGACCCTACTCAAGACACGTGATAACGAAGCTAAGTTGGAAAAGGACTTGATAAAACACCACACAGGTTGATCAACTTCGAATCACACAGAGTCAATCACAGACTGTTGATCTGACGGAGCTACCCAGTATACACACAAAGTTGATCAACTTCGAATCACACAGTCACACACATTGTGTATTGATCTGACGGTGTTGGAGAGTTAATCAACTCCGAATCACAGAGTCACAACCACTGTGTGCTGATCTGACAAACCCACACAGGGCCAATCAACACACACAATGTGTGTTGATCTGACGGTGATCAACTGGCACTACCACATGGCAGGACTGAAATTTTCAATCTCATGCTCTTAAAAATCACTCAGCTCGTACACATAAAAAAGGAAAATCATTGAAAACAGGATTGTCCGAATGACATGTGTAAATTTACATCCCCCACCTTCGACCGACAGTTTCACCATTCTACGCATTAGCAAAGCATTCATAACAGAATAATTCCACATACACTGTTAAATGGGACAAATCAAGATATTTACAAAACCAACTGTTTCCACCTTGTAGATTGTAAATGGAAAACGATACAAAGAAAGAGGAACTTACTTGGTCAGGCACTAACAGACGGGCCAAAGTACATGCAGATAGGTGGGTTCACCCTGAGGATCGAAAGTATGGCAGATGGTATCGTCCAAATCCCGTCCCCACAAATCAAGCCCGATGCCACAGCACCCGAATAGTCCTCCGAGTCCTTCCTATTCACTCTCTCCCAAACAAACAGTATCACAGTCCCCACAAACATGTCGATCGCGAAATAAGCCCCGATGTAAAACGGCACGGCCATCGCCATCGGTATAGGGATAAACCTCGAGACCCGTTTAGGCACAACATCCCTCAAAAGATTAACACCCAAAGCCCCCAAAAAGAAGCCACAGCACATGGCCAGACAGTGCTTGGGCAGCTCGGAAAACCCCTCGACCCCAAGAATGGCCATTTCGCGATATATAACGGCGTAGGGTGCCTTGTACGGGCTGTCAGGGGACCCCACGTCGAACGCAGTCCAATAGAGCCAGAAAGTGAGGGGGGCAATAATGCAGCCCATGGCAGTACCCACGAGCTGGCTAACAAACATGGACTTCGGGGAGGATAAAGTGAGGTAGCCGGTTTTGAAGTCCTGCATGAGGTCAGCGGCAGTGGCGACGATGGACATCATGACACCACAGGAGGCAAGGCCAGCGAGGACACCACCTTGGGAGCCGACGAGGGTGGCAATTATGAAGAGGCCGATCTTGCCGTAGGTGGAGGCGAGGCTCCAGTCGGTGAGGCCGGTGCCGTAGGAGTTGCAGAAGGCGAGGGCAGGGGCCAGGAGGTAGCAGCAAAGAACTAAGTACCATGTCAGGGGTGGGAAGAACTTCGGGAGAAGGCCGATTGATATGGCGGCAAGGGCTACATACCCGGAGGCTGCAAACCGGAAAGGAATGTTGTCCTTGAGGAAGACTTGGTCCCGTTTCTTTTCTTCTATAAGAGATTTCGAGGTGGGGTCATCTGTCCAGAGAGAGAGAGAGAGAGATTAATGGATGAGAAAAATTTTGGCGCAACCAAAAAGCAGAGCAAATAGAGAACATTATTACTCTAATGAGTCAAAATTAATGTCCAAAAGAATTTGGATAAATGACTACACCTGTAACTTCGCTGACGATTGGAAGACTGTGTTTGGAGCATATTTCCTTTATAGTCACGGATACGATCTTAATCAAATTATAAAGTCCATCCCCCAGGATGAGAGCAATGGCTATGAAAACCTGTATACAACACGAAAATTATTGAAGCGAACCTAAGCCATAAAAGCTGCAAGGGAAAATAAAGAAAAAACACAAGTTGCTTCACCAGTCATCAGTAAAATTGAAATTGGAGATAATCACGACTAATTGCTCTTAGGTACTCAAACCTACAGTATCTGACTGACATCAATTAATACAGCTGTCATATAATGTTGAAACCAAAATCAATTCAGTAAGGGTAAAAGGATACTGAACCTTGCGATTCAGCTAAATTTTATTTGGTACCTTGTATCCATAGAGACCTTTGAAATCATTACTGCCGAGATCAGCTGGATACCAGTCACCTGCCCGCTGTGAAATGAAAGGCCAAAGAAAACCCCATGATATGATGGCTCCAAGAAGAACTGAACAGTTGACTATGTGTGGGCAAATTAGCCCACATCCAACATAAGTTGGACTGAAGTCAAAATAGAACCTGAAAGAAATCTCAATGATCAAGGTTCATGACATTAAGAAACACCGGAAATCTGAAATAATTCAAGAAAAGTATCTAAAGCAAAGTTAACAAAGCACATAACTGAATACAGTAGAAAAAAGATGCTTTAGTAGGCACAAAAATGGACAAGAGCATACGTATTCTTGAATAGAGTTAATCCAAGGCTGGGGAAATTGTCGAATCCACATGAATCACCAACACCACTGAAGAACCACTTAAAGCAGCTCCAGCAGAAACTTATGCTTAAATATTTTCCAAGAGAAGACACCTGTTTCCTGAAGAAAAAATGGTAAAGGGCATTAGACTTCTGAGATTGACATAAAACTTAAGTTACAAAAGCAGGAACCTAGAAACAAATCTGCTGCTCACTTAGCAAGTTCAGCTCCAGTGTTTGTATGGAAACTATTGATCAACATAGCTGTGGCAGTCCCACTTGGGTAGGTCAGCTTATAATCCAGGACCATAACCTAAAAAAGAAAAAGGAAAGCTAAACTTATATCCGAGTACGCTCCAATCAATGTAATTTCCTAATTGTTTCTAGTTCCTAAACAAACATCTCACTATTTGAAGTGAATGCAAGGTGGCCAAGCCATGAGTAACAATTAACAAAGTTATGTGTACTTCAAGCTAAGTTAGCATTTATCTTGCAAACCCACTAAAAGTAATTTATCTTCATAGAATATGTACTACTCCTTTAAACATGACTCAAAAACATAATGCAAGCATTGACCTAACAACCCAAGTAAATCTATATATTCCAATGATATGCATAAACCTTAAATTGTAGATTAAATTTAGCTTTCATAATGAGAAGAGAA